AAAATACAGTGCAAGGTATTGAAGATTTACCAAAATAAACATTGTCGAACTCATCCATCCACTTCTTTGCCACCTCCCAATTTTCTGTAAAACAATGCCGATGGATGTTATGAAAGCGGGAGAGTCCCTAAAAATTAATATTTAAGATTTATCACATGCATGGTTGTACAAGTCTGTACACTCAAAGTGATGTAGGTCAGTAGTCATAAGCGTGAACTCTATTAGATCACACCCGAAAAATAATGGGCACTTTGATCGTAAATATGTTTGGTTTCTAGTACACGCTTTTCGTGAGAGGTTTCTTCAATCCCATCTTTTTAAATCGAAAACGCAAAGACAGATGAGAAAGCCCACAATGTGCTTCATGACGGATAAGCAGATTTTTTCCGCGTCACCAGGTCCTCTAGGCCCAGATCGACAATGAATAACTAAAGGAATCTGGTGTTTAAGCGCTAAGGCCAACTGGGCTTCGAACACTTCAACTTGCACTGGTGAATCCACATCGCTTCTGCAACAAACGGAAAACTTAACGATCTAAGACAATGCTTACTTGCAAGAAATACAGCTATTATGATGCGATAACAGGCTTTATCCAGAATTTGCGAGAAAATTCATTGGAATGACAAACTTAAATCCTTTGCAAAAAGTAGCTTTAACGAACTATCAAACAAGCTAAGAGTTGGATCCAAAACTGGAAAAGGCAGAAAATGGTCTCGAAACACAGCACAGTCACATTCAACTCACTTCATATAGTCCAACCCGCACTCTCCAATTGCTAAAATTTTTGAGATTCGGCGATTCTTCAGAAATTCTTCAAGCGTCTTTTGTATCTAGATAGTAGAGAGATATGTTTCAACAAAAATGAGATGAAAAAAATAGCTTCCGTACCGTATCTTTATACGTATCTGCATAATGTGGATGACAACCGTACGCTGCTCCTAATACATACTTGCTCTAAATGAAATGAATCATAACGAAACTTAAGGACAGATTCAAGATTTTGCTATAGTACCATCCTTTTTAATAACTTCTTTGAAGTCTATGTAAATTTAAAGTACATCATATAAGGAGAAAATAAAAATAATCACCTTTAATTGTTGCAGTATCCAATCCA